GTGTTAGAACAGACAAATAGAAGAAGCAGACCATTCTGATGCCATACATATACAAAATATACAACATGTATAAATGTTAATGCAAAATCAGGACCTAAAGAGATAATTAATAGTCCAGATGCAACTGGACCATGTGGTCATTACAAAAAATATACCTGACATATAAAACAAGGTAGACTATCGCTGTGGGTGCGACAAGATGAATTAGGCAGGGATCATTCAAGTCTACCAAGCCATAGTCCAACTAGATCTAACCTGAAAATACGGCCTAGGGAGAGCAGAGAAATAAGAACAGAGTGTAGCAGAAAGGAAGGGTCGGTGTAGCAGAGGCGCCCAGTGGAGCCAACTATCTAGTCTCAGAACCAGCTGTGGCGAAGGTTCAGAAGACGAGAGACACAAGAAAAGGAGAAATAGGAGAGAGCAGGGAGAGAAATGAAAAGAGGGTCCCTGAAGGCAGGAGCGTATTTACCGCAAGGCAAACAAGGCATTTGCCTAGGGCGGGATTTTTCAGGGGGGCAGCACCACCCTCCGGAAGAAATGACAGAAGAAGGGGCACACCTCGGAGAGAGGTTGCGGGCTGCTCGATGGTGTATGGAGAGCCCGACTCTCGTTCCCAGGGATGTCCGGAGCTGTGAAGGTGAGCTGGGGGGGATGTTAATAGAAGGCTCTCTCAGGTGGGAGGTGAGCAGAGGTGTTGTTGGTCAATGTCAGGCTCTCTCCTTGGGGAGGGGGGGCAACGATTTTTGTGTTGCCTAGGGCAGTACAAAACCTAAATACACCACTACCTGAGGGTGGCACAAGCAAAGATCAGGTATGTGAGTGTTTCACCATAGTAAGAGCACCGACTCATAAAATCAGGGGGGGGAAGACAGTGTTTGATCCATGGCTGACAAATTGTTTCGAATTTCTCAATCTGTTTTTTTTTTTCTAGGACTTTCATTTTGGCAAATTGTACTTCTATTGCAGAAAAGATCAAGCTTTCTAAGTATTCTAGGATAGCCTTCAGCTTTCTCCGTAGAAAAGTTCATGACTCCTGTTATGTAGATTCAGCTGACCTTATTAGCACACACTCCTGCCCTCCACTCACCTCTGTACTCATATACAGATCGTAATATTCAACATTTTTGTATTATTATTAGAGTAGAGCTTATATAACAAAGATAGTGAATATAGTATAACATTAGTCCTATAAGTTTCATTGTGGATGTATTAAACTGATTTGCTTTGTGTCTGTAGGTCAAGAACCCGTAGATTCGTGGTACGATGAAATCAAGAACTATGATTTTGGAAGGCCAGGTTTCCGAAGTAACACAGGTAATAGTCAAGGTCTGAGTTATAGCCTTGTTAATCTAATTAGTGTTGGCATATTCCTGCCATGTCCTTAAACCTTCTTGGCATTTTTTTTTTTTTTTTTTTTTTTAAAAGGACATTTCACCCAAGTTGTCTGGAAGGACTCCAAGGAAGTTGGCGTAGGGTTGGCCACTGATGGCAATGGACTTTACTTTGTGGTGGGACAGTATGACCCAGCAGGGAACATCACCAATCCTGGATACTTTGAAAGGAACGTACTGCCATCAGGGTCCGCAGTATCCCCAGATAGTGACGAGTCTGGTTCACGGTGGAAATCAAGTGAAAATAAGTCACCTGAAGTAGAGAAGACAAGTGATCGAAAACCTATAATTAACATTGGCCAGACAGGTAAGAAAATGCCTGCCTTTCCAGACATTTAGGATCATCCCAACAACATGTGTGACCTATGTGTCTGTTGCTAATCTTGGTTTATGGAAGGCATATGGCAAATGTCAAGCAGGTGGCAGACCCCTTCTTAGTTTTTATAATTCCTATATCTAGAAGAAAGTTTCATTTTTCTGTGTAGACATGATCCAGTTGCTGAAAGTACTTCTTGATAAGATTTTTCCATGAATATGAATGCTTGGTTTTGCATACTCTACATGTTTATGCCTCTGGAGCTGGGAGATGAGTAGGTTCAGAAAGACATTTTGAATTTCAGTTTTGTTGTCCTGCTGCTCTCCACCTTATCCATCACCTGCACCAACATAAGCTCTTTTTGGATTATGTGGCTTCTGCAATGGATAGTGGAATGGCAAAGAGATAGATCAAAGTTGGGAGTGAAATTGAAACCTATGAAAGAAATGCACCAGGATTTGTGGGACACCCAGAGTGCAGACAAATATAATGGCTGAGAATGCCTGGTATTTGTAGACAATGGTACCCATTATAAAGGAATAATATTGGTTCAGGAACATTCTGTATTAATACCAGGTCTTTGACTTAACGTTTACTAGGCACTGTATCTGCAGTACTGAAAGCACTAATTTTGAGTGTCTCTTAACTGTGCCCTAGTAAAATTGAGCAACTTTGAGCAAGAAGCATTGGACACTCACAACAAATACCGCCGCCTACACGGTGCACCTCCTTTACAGATGAGTCGGGAGTTGAGCGAGTCCAGCCAGAAGTGGGCCAATCACCTTCTCTCAATCAATGCTCTCCAGCACAGCAACACCAACAATGGCGCGAGAACCTGTGGTATAAATGGAACTCGAGCGTCAGGGACGCATCTGGTAAGTTCTCGGAAAACAGTGGAGGTTCTTAAAGAAAACTTTATTTATACTCCTGTTTAGGTACTTTAATTATTATTATTACTATTATTAGATTCTGGTCAGATCCACCTACCGTTTCTGTCATTAAGTGTCAGGCAATCCAGAATTATTCAAAAGAATGCTTTGCTTCAATAAAAGCAACTGTCGGTGAGACAGTGAGCGTTAAAGGTTACTTTTCCAGTAAATAGCCTATGCAGTCAAGGGGTATAAAAAAATTATATAAAAAATATTTTAGTCTAACCCCCCCCAAAAAAAAACCACATCAATGTAAATTTGTAGTAAATATTTTTTTTTTTTTTTATTTCAATGTTTTAATTAATTTATAATCGTTTTAAGAAGACAGGATCAACAAAACACACCCACGCAGGGGCTATCAATTGCACATAAAAAAGTAATGTTTCTTTTTAATGTTACATAATCACACTCTGTAATTCTTTTGATCTAGCCAGCTGCCAGGCAGTTATTTTTTTTGATCAGAATAAAATTCTTTTGCCTGCCTTTGGCGACAGCTTCAAATTATACACTGCAGCAAAAGCCAACTCCCTTTATCAACTTCTACAAATTTACCCGGCACAAAAATCTCCCAAGGATATCTGTTTTGTCTTTGGGGTTTATAAGGTGTGTGTTTAAAGAGAGTTTATATATTTTTCAATGGTTTTAAGAAATGTGCCTGTGAAAGAGATCAGTTTGATTTAAATAATTTTAGAAGTATATTTTGTTAAATACTTATTTAAAGATTAATTTATGTAAGATTTGAAATTATGTACATCGGAGATCAGCTGTATTTGCTTATAACATACGCAGGCTCTGCATCCTTCTTTGCAGTACTATATGATGGTAGTGATTTGTTGCTCTATTAGTCTATGAGTCACCTGACTTTTTGAAAACAATGTACTCCTGTGGCTTATCTCTTAACCACCTTCCGCCCGCCCTATAGTACAATGACGGGCGCAAGGTGGTTCTCTCGTTCTGATAGGACGTCATAGGACGTCCTACCATTCTCACAGCGCATGCGCGGTTTAAGGAGCGCGCAGCGTGGCGTTTGCCGGTGCTCTGTGTCCCTCGGACACAGCGGATCATGGAAAGAGCCGAAGATGTCGGTTCGGTCATGTGATCAGCTGTGTCCAATCACAGCTGATCACATGTAAACTCGGAAATGCTGGTTATAGGCATTTCTCTCCTCTCGAGCTGTCACGCTGACAGCTCGAGAGGAGAGCCGGTAATCAGCTTTCCGCGGAGGGGACATATACACTGATCATCAGGGCACTGATGATCAGTGTGGCCCCAGAAGTGCCACATGTCAGTGCTCATCAGTGCCACATCAATGCCACATATCAGTGCACATCAATGCCACATATCAGTGCCCATCTGAGCTGCCTTTCAAGGTCACCCATCAGCGCCAGTCAGTGCCACCTATCAATGCCATTCAGTGCCACCTATCAGTGCCGCCTAACAGTGCCAGTCAGTGCCGCCTAACAGTGCCAGTCAGTGCCGCCATATATCAGTGTCATGTATCAGTGCCCATCAGTGATGCCTGTCAATGCCCATCAGTGCCACCTATCAGTGTCCATCAGTGCAGCCTATCAGTGCCCATCACTGCAGCCTCATTAGCGCACATCAGTGAAGGAGAAAAATCACTTATTTACAAAATTGTATAACAAAAACTAAGAAACTTTTTTTTTTTTTTCAAAATTTTCAGTGGTTTTTGGTTTGTTTAAGAAAAAATAAAAATCCCAGAAGTGATTAAATACCACCAAAAGAAAGCTCTATCTGTCTCAAAAAAATGATAAAAATTTCATATGGGTACAGTGTTGCATGACCACACAATTGTCATTCAAAGTGTGACAGCACTGAAAGCAGGAAATTGGCCTGGGCAGGAAGGGGGTATATGGTTCAGCAGGGACAAACCAAACTTCGACCCATGTATGGGCACCCTGGTTGTGCACAAGTTGACCCATTGATCAACTTGTGTACAACCAGCCTGTCAGGTTTCTCCCAAACGATTAGTACCACCAGCTATAGCTGGACAAACTAATCATTGTGTCCTTCCAACAGGGAAGGCTGCCTGCTAACAGAACACAATAGTGCTGTGGGATGGATTCCCCCACGTTGACTGTGTTGATGGGGAAATCAAGCTATTTTCTTTCTATCCACCCATGGTATGGCCTGTTTTTTATTTCAACAAGCAGAGAGCATGAATGGACCTAAATAAATACAGGGCTCCCTCTAGTGTCTATTCTACAAATCTCTATATTTAATAAACTAAGAAAAATATGGAAACATAAAACTTAAATCAGCGAAAAATCATAAAAATCTACTTTATGAAAAACACTACCAGAATCACTCAAGTATGCTTACTCACTTGTTGTTGTATTCCAGGGTCGGAAGTCGTGGATACCTGGTACAACGAGATAAAGGATTACAATTTTAGCAAACCTGGCTTTCAGTCTAACACAGGTAAGGTTCCTTTTTTACCTTGTTTTCTTAAGAGATTGTGTAGTGGTTTTGGTCAATTTTGTTGTATTGTTTTTAAAGCCTAAAAAAAAAAATACAGATTAGCATAAGGGACATTACTTCTGTTCAGTATGATTTGTCTCTTGTGCTTCTGTTTTCTAGTTCAGTAGTAAGCTGTCTCCTGTGATGCCCCCTCAACCCCTACTACCATATTCTTCTGATGTGATGAGGAGCTGTCACAGGCATGAGTACCAAATATATATGCCCATCCAGGGGCGGACTGACAACTCATGGGGCCCCCGGGCAATAGGGGATCATGGGGCCCCTGTGTCCCTGCCCAAGCTCAAAAAAGCCTATGAAAAAAGGTACCAGGGGCATCTCATGGGGCTCCCTACTGACCCCGGGCCCTCGGGCAGTGCCCGAGTTTCCAAATGGTCAGTCCGCCCCTCTGCCCTTCCCACCCAGCTCCTCAACTCATAGAAGCCAAACAGTTGTGCCCACAAGTTTGCATATCCTGGTAGAAATCATGAAATTTTGGCATCAATGTTGAAAATATGACTGATCATGCCAAAAAACTGTCCTTTATTTAAAGTGTTACTAAACCCAGGACCCTGCATTCACTATGTCTGGTCTCCCACAGTGCACAGAACATGGAAGTGAAATTATTTTTAGTAACTATAAACTGCTAAATACCTTTTCTCATCAGCAGTTAGAGCAGTCTTGTGACTTCTATCAGTGTCCAGCAGAGCACTGGTTAAAGATTGTAGGAGGCATTTTAATTTTGCTCTAGGAGGATGCAGAACCCCCGCCCTCCATCTGGACAGGGCTGGTTGGCCCTGTGCTGATCACATGCACTCTTCCAAGAAAAAAAAAAAAAAAAAATCTCTAGCAATACACACCAAACTGAGCATGTGCAGTGTGACTCCACACGATATGTCTTATCAGGAGATAAGAGGGGAACACTGGAAGAAGGGGAGTATCAGAGAAGTCAGGATAAGCCTTTTTACACAATGCTGAAGATTAACCCCTTGGGTTCCACAGTGAGTATAACAAGCATGCTTTACTGCATACACAGACTGACTTTACTGTTGTGGGTATAATAACACTTTAAGGATTGTGATTACATGAAGCCATTTATTACCACATAGTTGTTTTGGCTCCTTTTTAAATCATAATGATAACAGAAATCACCCAAATGGCCCTGATCAAAAGTTTACATCCCCTGGAATGTTTGGCCTTGGTACAGACACACAAGGTAATGGCAATTAAAGGTTACTTTTCCACATCAGTGGATTATTAAATTGCAATTAGTGTCTGCGTATAAATAGTCAATGAGTTTGTTAGCTCTCATGTGGTGCTCTGAGCAGGCTAGATACTGAAACATGGAGAGCAGAAAAGAACTGTCAAAAGACCTGTGTAACAAGGAAACAGAACTTTACAAAGATGAAAAACAATATAAAAGATATCCAAAGCCAAGGTCAGGTAGACCAAGAAAGATTGCAGCCACAACTGCCAGAAGAACTGTTCAGGATACAAAAATCCACAGATAACCTCAGGAGAAATACATGCTATCCTGGAAAGAGACGGCGTGGTTGTTTCAAGGAGGACAATATGACGATTTCTACCAGGGTATGCAAATGTTTGAGCACAACTGCATTACAGCTTGTATGAATGATACACAATCTGTGAATGGAGAGGGACAGACCTTTCAATCATCTGCCTGTCCTCGTAAACGTAGGTTTTATTGCTTACACATTTTCAAAATTATATTATGTATGTTTTAAATTAAATTCTTCAAATTGTTATTTGTTACAAATCGATGTAATACCAAGAATATTCATGAAATTGAATTCCATTTAAAATGCATGCAATGCTTTCTAATAAGAAAACCCACCGTCCCCTGGCAGCCTGTACAAGTTAATTAAGCTGGTACCACTTTCTGAGAAAGCTGGGGAGATTGTGTGCCTCTTGTGAATCATTCAGCTCTCTTTGCCTTCTGATATTCCTGTCATTTTTACAGTAAAGGTCTAGAAAGCTTATTCTGGTGGTTGCAGCATGCCACCTACTGGTTGCAACTTGTTAATATGAAATATTCTTGTGTAACATTCCATATTTACCAGCTTGAAAAGAAAATGTTAAAATAAAATTTGTATTTAAAGGTTTACTAGGGACAATTATAAAAAAAAGGAGGCTGATAAAAAGTTGTGGTGAAGTCACTCAGCAACTTCACTGTGGTCCCCTGGCATCAGAGAGTATTTCTTTCCATGTGGCTTTAGATTAGACTCAAACATTCAGACTTTTATATTTAAGGGTGGATTTGAATTTGATTAATTGCTGTGTATAATTTATGAAATAAATAACAGCTGTTTGTGATGCATTAATAATGGTGGTGGAATGTGAACAGTTGTGTTGGGAAGGAAAATACAAGCCCATATAGAAAAGATGAAAGAAACAGGAACATTTTATAAATCTCCCGCTCAGCCACTTATAGTCACACATTGTCATATCTTCATTTTAACTTTCAACTAACATAAACTTTTAGATCAGGGGTGTCCAAACTTTTTTCAAAGAGTGCCAGATTGGATGAAGTGAACATGGTGGAGGGCCGAACATTTTTCCGAACATTCTTTGAACCATTACAATTAAATGCAAATAAATTATTTTATGCCAAGTTAATTGCAAACGACATACTTTTCATTTCATAACATTAAGATCAACTGACAGCTGAGTTTTCACAATGTATTGAAAATAAATTTTAAAAAAACTTACCTGCACTAATGTGAAGGGTGAAAAAGGTAGCTGGAGCTGAAGTCTCTGCTCGGCAGCCGGGAGGGGAAGAGAAACGCACTTCACGCTGGAAGCCCGGCCCTGGTGTCACCGCCCTCTGTCGCTCCCAGCGTGGCGCAGTCACGCATGCGCACTGCTCTCAAGCAGAAGACTGTCTGCCACAGAAAGGAGGGCCGTGCGACAGCCGCATTTACACAGACCAGGGAGAACGCGCCGCAGTCAGGCATGCGCACTGCCTTCTGCTCTCAAGCAGAAAACTGTCTGCCATAGAAGGGAGGGCCACATTACACAGAGCAGGGAGGGCTGTTGGAGGGCCGTATTAAACCGACCCCCGGGCCGTAAATGGCCCGCGGGCCGGACTTTGGACATGCCTGCTTTAGATAGAGCCCCAAAGCATATATTTTACATAACGATAAAACTAGTGCTGAAATATTAGTCACGCTGTCTTTGCCAGCATGGCGGATCTTACCCCCAGTTCACATGTATGTGGTCATGCGGGCCGTGTTTTGCATGGACACAAGAGCCCATTCATTTGTATTTCAATAGTTTTTATTAGTTTTAATCAGTATAAAACAGAGGCGGCAAAACATGCCCCCACAGGGGCTATCAATTGCACCGATAAGATAAAAAACATAATAATAAAGGGAAAAACAGTGCTCTAACTTCAACAAGGCAGAAGGTATGCCCACGCAGGGGCTATCAATGGCACATAGGTTACAATGACGGTAATGAAATTCTAACTGCAATTAAAGGCAGCTGTCCACTATCACCCAAAAAACTAACAGAAATGGAGAGAAAGAAAGAGAAGAGAAATAAGAGGAGAAAAAAAAAAAAAAGGAGAGATCCAAGAGCGCCACCATCGAACGCCAGTGCCTAACGCCATTACATCCCCATACTAGCCAAAGGAAGCGTGGGAAAGGCATATTGCAACCATGGTTCCCATATTTTTGAGAATTTACATTGGGAGTCGTTGCATATGCTCGACATCTGTTCATTAAGCATCATATTGGTCATACGATCCCGCACCCCCTGAAAAGGGACAAACGGACTCTTCCAGGCCTGAGCAATTGTTCTGGTGGCCGACAAAAACAAATAGGACGCCAGCTTCTGCTGATGAGCCAAGAGACCCGGTATGGGGCAATGAAGCAAGGCATACCGAGCAGCATCCCGGCGTATGGACAGATGAAACAACGTGAAAAGGAGGCCAAATACACGAGACCAAAAACGGACCAGTCTCGGGCATGACCACCAGGTATGCAAGACATCGCCACGATGGCCACAACCCGGAAACATCGATCACTACAAGCGGGATTAGCCTGGGCCAAACGAGCCGGAACCCAATACCAACGAAACAATACCTTATAGGCTGCCTCCAGCGTGGTGGTATTGAATGAGCATTTAGCTATGAGTGACCAGGCCCTATTCCAGTCCTCCGGATCCACATCCACTCCCAGGTCACGCTCCCACTGAACAACATATGAAAGAGAAGTATGCGACGAGCGTCTGTTCAAGGCTGCATAAAGAAGGGAGATAAGGCCCGGGGCGCCCGGGCGGTGCTGGCAAAGCTGTTCAAAGGCCGATTTCTGATATGGAAAAGAAGAAGTGCCCCGCAGCGAGAGTAGCCAGTGCCGCAATTGAAGGTATCGAAAAAATTCCGCCGGGGGAACATCCTGAAGAAGATCCCAGGTAGGGAAGGACCGAGAAACCAAAAAGTGTCGCACCTGCAAAAACCCATGAGCCACCCACCAAGAGAACGCCCTTGGGTGATCTAAACCCGGTGGGAAAAGAGGGTTGTTAACAATTGGAAGCAAAGGCAGAAAGGGTGACATCAGGCCACTGGAATAACGTACCGAGTCCCAGACTTGTAAGCCATGGAGCAACATCGGGCTCAGCGACATAGGGCGCAGGTCAGGGGGAAGCCATAGAAGCGCCGACGGTTGGATAGGGGCACAGTTAGGTAGCTCCAGCAAGACCCAGACAGGGACGTCAGAGGAAGCGTGCAACATAGACAGCGGGGCAATCTGGCTCGCCTGGTAATACTTAGTTACATTGGGCACCCCAAGGCCACCCTGGAGTCTATGAGCAAAGAGCGTATTTCTAGATACTCTGGGGTGCTTATTGGCCCAGATGAAACGCATAAGCTTCGCCTGAAGCGACCGAAGGAAATGAGGGGGAACCCGCACTGGGAGAGTACGAAAATAATATAACAATTTTGGCAGGACGGTCATTTTCACCGAATGAACCCGCCCTATCCAAGACAGGTGCGGAAATTGCCAGGAATGCAGAAGAGAAGATAAAGAACTAAGCAATGGGTAATAATTCGCAGCAAAGAGGGAGTCATAGGTGGGGGTCAAGCGGATGCCCAAGTATTCAAGAGAGGAGGAAGCCCATTTATAAGGGAAGTAGGATTGAAGGCGTGAAACCAAATTGGAATCCAAAGTAATATTAAGAACGACAGTCTTATCCAAGTTAATACGGAGACCCGAAATCAAAGAGAAGCGCTCAAGAACCCGTTGCAGATTAGGAAGCGTCGTCAGAGGCTTAGTAAGAGTCAAGAGGGCATCGTCCACAAAAAGATTCAGCTTAAACTCCTGTCCCGCGTATGAAACCCCCGATATATTGCAATCGGTCCAGAGCGCTAAAGCCAGCGGCTCAAGCGCCAGTACAGTAAAAAGCGCCGGGGACAAGGGGCAGCCCTGTCTCGTCCCTCGCCCAATAGGAAAGGGGTTCGAGAAATACCCAGCATATTTAACGGAAGACGAAGGAGACGAATACAAGGCTTGAATCCAAGAAAGGATAGAATCCCCAAAACCCCAACGAGACAGCACAAACCGCAGATATTCCCAGGATAGAGAGTCAAAAGCTTTATATATGTCTAAGGACAGTAAGAATCCCGGGATTTTCCGCTGTTGCAGAAGATGTATAAGATGGACCACCTTACGAGCGTTATCACCCGCCTGCCTCCCAGGGACAAACCCCACTTGGTCCCTGTGGACCAGGCTACGCAAATAATTATTGATGCGAGAGCTAAGAATCTTGCCCAATATCTTCAGGTCTTCATTAAGAAGAGAAATGGGCCGGAAGGCTTGCGGTTCCTGTACATCCTCGTTCGTCTTAGGAATCATGGCTATATGTGCTCTAAGCGCGTCCGGGGAGGGCAAGGAGCCCCTGTCGTAACTCATTGAAATAGTCAGCCAAGAAGGGCGCCAACAGGACCGAGAATTTCTTATAATAGAGACCGGAGTAGCCATCAGGACCTGGGGCCGCGGTGGACCTTAAAGATTTGATAGCTTGGAGCACTTCCGGTACGGTAACACAGGCATTGAGGGCCACCTGTGCTGCCTCGGATAATCCCGGAAGACGAAGATCTTGAAAAAATGCCTCTGCCTGAGCCACAGGGAAGGGATCAGGTGTAGTGTAAAGGTGTGAAAGGAAGTCCGAAAATCGGGAAACAATCTGCTGGGGATTAGAAGTACATCCACCTGTGGGAAGTCGCAGTCGTATCGGTTTATGGGGTTTCCCCACGGAATTGAGCTTCCTGGCCAGCATCGGGCCCGGTTATTAGCACAAGAATAAAATTTTTGTTTGGTCCAACGCAAGGCCCGTTCCGCCTCCGAAGAGGCAAGTAGGTCTAATTCGGTCGCCAGAGCGTCCCGAGCGCGTTTATGGGCTGCGGATGAGCCCATTCATTTGAATGGACTCCCGTGCCTGTGACATGCAGGGAAGAAGTCCCTGCACTTCTTTGGAAAACGCAGCCCGCATGGGAACCTCGGTTCCCAGTACGGTTGCGTTTTCCAGTGCGGGCAGCATATCATTAGAACTAATGGCACCCGCCTGCGGGTCCGCATTTCTCTGTGCTGGTGGTGCGGCTGTACGGATTTTCATGCGGATCCGCAGCGGCACCACCCGCACAGATGTGAACCTAGGGTCAGGGGACTGACGTCAGAAAAATGCATGGACTGGTATTATACCCCCTCTAGACTACACATCATGTTTCCAGGGATGTCCCAGCTTTGCTTCCGGGGCTGTGGCCTTGCTGGTACCCTTGTGCATATATTTTGGGCCTGTCTGAGCCTTTCATTGGTATGGCGCAAAATCTCTGAAGTGGCCTCTGCTGTGGCAGATGCCCCGGTGCATTTGTCTATACAAATTTACCTTCTGGGAGACCATATCTCGGGATTTCCGACTGAGGCTATTTCACACCATCTGTGTTTCAACCCTATGGGCCATTGCTCTTCATTGGAAGTCGCCCACTGTACCATTGGCCTCAGCTCTATGAAGAGACAACGCGGTGATGCTTATGGAACGTATTCATGATATGTTGCTGGATGGGATGCACTTATTTGACAGAAAATGGGATGTTTGGGAAAACTCAGACATTTACTGTCTGACCAATGAATACTCATGATTTAATTGATAGTGTTTCTCTGTTGGTAGCCTTATTGCTCTGCCTACCTTGCTCATGTACTTACTGTAAAGCGGAGTTCCACCAAAAAGGGAAAGTTCCGCTTTAAAGATTGGTCCCCCGCTCCCCATTAAGGATTGGCACCTTTGGGGAGCGGGTACCCAAAATTGACAGGTACCCGCTCCCACTTCCGCTGCGATCGCCTAGGCAATTGGAAGCGGAAGTTGTCCTCCTACTCTCCCTCCCTGTAGTCTTGTGGGACACGTGACAGGTCCCAGAAGACGTCAAGGCCATTCAAGAAGCACGGCGCTACTCGCACATGCACAGTGGGCACCCGGATGTGAAGCTGCAAACTGTCAAAGCCGGGTGCCCACACTAAAGATGCCGATGCCTGGAATACAGGTCGGCCGGTGAAACTGGCTGCTGTGGGGGCACCGTGGGATCGTGGGACAGGTAAGTGACTGTTTTTTAAAAGTTAGTAACTACAGTTTTTGTAGCTACTGACTTTTTTTTTTTTTTTTACAGAGAGTGGAATTCCGCTTTAACTTTTAGGCTTTACGTGATTGTACCTTATTGGAATGAATATTACAGATGTGCCTTTTTTTCTGTTGTATATTATACTTTATGCTGTTATGCTATTTTTGCAGCCTTTTCCTTAATAAATAAAAACGTTTGTAAACAAAAAAAGAAAAATGCATGGACTAGCCTGTTTCCTCTGAAAATCGGTCCTCTGAGTCTCTGCTGGAGAACATGTGACCATTGCCTTGACACAGGTCATGTGATTGGTCAGTAGAAGGATTTAAGCCTTCTTGCAACACAGTTCTAGGGTAGTTTAAACCAATCTGTTGAGTCAGTAGCAGTCAATAAACATCCTTTCACTCCGATGTACTACATTAGGTTACTTGGACCATACAGGGTGAATGAAAAAGTCTTTTCCTCTCACTCATTGATCCACCTTGCCCTAGGTTTTACAGCTTCTTCCCATGATTCTTTATCTTGTCTCCAGGTCATTTCACACAAGTGGTCTGGAAAGACTCCAGGGAAGTTGGCATTGCCAAGGCTATAGATGGTAAAGGAATGGTGATCGCAGTAGCCCAGTACAGTCCTGCGGGTAACATCACCAACCCTGGCTACTTCCAGAAAAATGTGCTGCCCAAGGGGACCCCAGTAACTGAGAGCACAGGAGGAACCAGTGACCGGGGAACAGGAGCCACTTTTTATCCTTCCGGACGTGGAGGCGACTCTGGAACATCACCTACCGGTAACTAAAATATTTCCAGAATGTTTGCATTCAGTATTATGCCCATTAAGGCCTAATCTGCCAAGATATATCTGTTATTTGGGATTCCAGCAACAGATTGTGGGGACGATGTTATCTGGGATTCCAGCAACAGATTGTGGGGTCGATGTAACAGTTATACTAATTTGTATTTAGCACAGTTCCAGTATGCTCTTTATTACTAGTTCTCTAAAATAATGTGTTATTCAGAGTTCTTCTTTAACCTCTGTTACTTGAATATGGCAAGGAAAGCACAAAACTGTTCGATCAGCAGATATTGATCCGTGTATGGGCAGTCTTTTTTATGCTGGCCATACACACATAACAATAAACAATTGATGAAAGGTTTGAGCATTCCAGACAAAAGGGTGACTAATTTGGATGCCATTAAAATTTCTGCCAGGATCAGCTGTCACCTGTTGAGTAAAAATTGTTTGTCAATCTAATCACTTAGATTGTTTGTTTTTGAAAGATTTCATACTTTAATCAAATGATTGTTGTATCAAAAGATTGTATTGTGTGGCCAGGATTAGGCTAACTAAATACAGGTAATGTCTTCCTAAGGCTCCATTCACGTTTGTACTACTGCAAAGTTGTGCAACTTTAGTACAACTTTGATGCAACTTTGGATGGGTGTGACTTGTATGTGACTCATCCTTCTGCAGTCAGATCCACCGTTGCATGAAAAACATACAGGTACAACTTTCATGCAATTATTGAGGGTTAACATTGAAGTCTATAGACCTCAAATTGTATTAAAGTTGGGCAAAGTAGTGCATGAACTACTTTAAGTCGCACATATATGAATGGTTATCATTGAGAAACATGAGGTATGACTTGTCGTGCAACTTTGATGTCCAAAGTTGCATGACAAGTCACACAAGTGTGAAGGGGGTCTAAAGCAGACCATAGATTATATGATTTTCTTTCCTGCCACCTTGGGTGGCAGGTAAGAAAATTGATCAATTTCTCCATCAACCCAGTCTGTATTAGAATGCCTCCTGCGGAGCTATTGTCGTCTGCCGGCAGGAAACCTTCCCGGCTGGCAGAACACATTGATCACTGCTAGCAGCTATAGCTGCCAGCAGTAATTGCATCAGAGAGAAAAATATTCTCAGGAGTGACAGGCAGGGACCCCCACAGGGGCCCCATATAGGATCCAAGTGCAAGGCACATTTCAGGCCAAAATATCGTATGATGTGGGATATTGCCATACATTATACAAATTTCTTGTACAATTTTCTATTAGATTTACCAAAACCCTATAATATGAGGTCAGACCTAGACACTTTGTATGCAGGCCTTTGCACTACATAGTTGAAGGTAAATCTAAATGTATGGCCAGCTTTAATGGTCCACATGGTCAGGTAACAGGTTCCATTATTGGTAACACATGGTGGTGGATGCCCACTTTCTTCTGCAGGAAGTAGGAGTGTGGGGACACCTTCATTTGAATGTATGAACTGTCACATATAAATTGCTATTAAATCACAGATTATTTATTAACTTTTTTTTCACTTCTGTTTGCACTTATGTATTATAAATTGCTATAAGTCTGTTATAAGTCATTACAAATTACAGACTATTTATATTCTTTGACTTCTGAGAAAGCGGCACTTTGGCGATGCACCTCAGCTGAGTAATCAGAGTAAAAGGATACCTTTGTCCCATTGTAGAGGATGTCTTTGCGCTCTCTTGCCAGCAGGAGAATAATTTCACAGTCTCGGTAGTTTAGAAGCCAAACTAGAAAGGGTCTTAGAGGGTGACCACGCTGGAGAGGGCGAGCTAGGGTTCTGCGGGCCCTTTCAACAGCAAAAGGTGGTGTAAAAGTCTTTGGCAAACCGTTGAATCAGCCATTGCTCAATGAAGTCAGTCGTGTCTTTTCCTTCAATGCGTGCTGGTAGGCCAACAATTCTCATATTCTTTCACCATAGGCTATTCTCAAAATTGTCATTGCGCAAGTTGTTAGCTGTGGCCAGTTGCAAGGTGCCACGGGACTCCAGGGCTAATGGTGGAAGTTTGTCCTCAAGGTCACTGACCTGGCTTTCCATGGCTGTGGTGTGTTCGCAGGTCTTCTGCAAGTCTTGTCTTAGCAGGGAGACTTCCACCCTCAAACACCCCCTACTTGATCCTGCACTTACTGTACGGAACCAGTACACCTTTGCACCGCTTTAAGTATGTTACTGAGGGTGGGTTGGGGAGCATCTTCCTCCACTTCATCTGACCCAGCTGCACCCCAAGTCTCCTGCGCCATGACTATGTCTAGCTCAGGGTCAGCCTGAGCATCATCTAAGTTCCCCTGCGCTTCCTGACCATGGGATCAGGTCAGTTTTTGCATATAGAAGAGCATGTTCCTAGGGGGATCTTTGCCTGCTGGGCGGTTGGATTTACCCGTTCTACTCACTGCATCCTTGGGCTTATTTCCCAAAGTGGGTTTGGACGCCATTTTGGGACTCTGACCTTCCGCTCGGTTCTTACGGGTCACAGCGTGGGGAGTCAGCAATGCTAGCAGGCTAGCAGTGTCCCGGACCCCTTGGCAGGCACTGAGAATGGTGAGAGCAGGTAAAAGTACAGGTAGCAGGATCAATGAAAGGATCAGTGTCAGGAGCTCCTGGAGACACGTCTACACACGTGCCCGTCTAGGCCTCGTTCCTTATTTATATTCTTTAATCTTACTGTTTTGCACTTTATATTTTTTGCACGTTTGCACTATTTTGAGCTTGTTATATATTTTATTTGTTTATTGTTGGTTTTACCCAGTTGGATATTTAAGTTGTGAATTTAGCTTTTTGGGTATTTTATTGTAAATTGCATACAAAAAAAGCAACAGGCTGGTTGTACTGAAGTCGATCGGTGGCTCGACTTCAATTCAACCAGCCAGCCCATAGATGGATCGATTCTTCGCTGTTGCCTGTTGAACCGGCATCTATGGCTGACTTTAAAATGTTGGTACAGAAACCTGCAAGATCACATAGCAAGATGAAATTTTATGAGCGATAACACACACTATAGATGGTTGGGGGGCACTCATTATTACTCCTACAGTGCCATTAATGATGTTTTATATTGAGGGATGGGACCAGGCTATTTCTGATCACCCTACATTTTCCAGCTGTTGCATCAGCACATGTCACACTCAGAAATATCCTGTTGTCATGCTGATAAGATGTCTTGTTCTCATATCTAGTAGACACAAGAGCATTTGCACAGGAGTTCCTGAAGGCAAATAACAATTACCGGGCCATGCATGGAGCGAAACCCTTGCAGCTGAATTCCAGAATTAGTCAAGAGGCCCAGAAGTGGGCGGAGCATCTTCTGACACTGAAGACCCTGAAGCACAGCGACACTTCCTATGGGGAGAACATCTGGGCTAAAACAGGAAGCCCATCCATCACAGTGGCAGGTAAGTGATAAAAATGATTATAAAACAATCAATGATAAATATAACAAATTTAGACTTTATGGTGCACTGTATAAAAAAAGGTTTTAATAACGATGATGTGTGGCAGCAGATCCCAGGGGAGGCATTACACAGGCTCTGCACCCTGTATAGCCGTGTCATTAAAAAAACAAACATTTATACTCCTCTAGGTGGAGGGAGCATTGATCTGATACCGCATCTGTCCCCCCACAGCCTCTAAACTGAGAACTAAGCAATCAAAGACCATAGTTGCCAACATTTCCAAAAAAGTTTAGGAACCTTTTTTTTTTTTTTTTAATTATATGTCCAGAAAGCCAGTGTGGGTGATATGTAAATTAGGGGTGATGGCACCAATTGTGGGTGTGGCTTGGAGTAAAAAAAAAATCATGGTGTCAAAAATTGGGCGTGGCCTAAATTACTCTGGATGTTGGGTGTGGCTTAAAGGGGGTGTGGTTACAAAGTCTGAGATTTTCTTGGGCTCCCCCATACAATTTTGCTCTCCACCCCAACAGCCCAAAAAACAAATAAACACACACATAGACTTATCTAAAAAAAAAAAAAAAACTTTAATAATATAAACAAAGAACTGGTCCACACTCACTGATTGGTTGCTAGAGGTTACTGCTGTTAGTACAGCAGAGGGTCAGAAACTGCAGACATAGTACAGGAGACTGTCAGAGACTGCAGACATGGCAGGGATGGTCAGAGTACAGTATGCTCCATCACAAATATCACAGTATGCGCCCACCACAAATATCACAGTATGCGCCCACCACAAATATCACAGTATGCGCCCACCACAAATATCACAGTATGCTCCACCACAAATATCACAGTATGCTCCACCAAAATATCACAGTATGCGCCACCACAAATATCACAGTATGCGCCCACCACAAATATCACAGTATGCGCCCACCACAAATATCACAGTATGCGCCCACCACAAATCACAGTATGCGCCCACCACAAATATCACAGTATGCGCCCACCACAAATATCACAGTATGCTCCACCACAAATATCACAGTATGCGCCACCACAAATATCACAGTATGCGCCACCACAAATATTACAGATGCTCCACCATACTGCTGCCTTCACTGCCTCCTCTTTCTTTTCAAATGCTCCCGGAAGTGATCGGCTTAAGGTGGGCTGGCATGGTCACCCTTGGTTGGCCCCCTCACTAATACTGGGCAATCATGTTATGAGGAAAGAACCACCTGACTTCCTAGAGGTGGAGTAGGCGAGTGGTCTGGGTGTGTCTATGAGGCCCATGCCAGCTGTCCGTGACAGATCGAAAAATTTATGATTTTGCCCAGGACGAGCTTCCAGTGGGACATTGGTCCAATATTTGGGACTGTCGCGGGCAATTCGTGACTGTTGGCAAGCACGAAAGACCGCTGAACACTCAACTCTTGGTTTTCTATGAGCAGAGACTGGTGAATGTCAGTCTCCGGCTCTCTGCTCTGTTCCTCCAGTGCTCACTGGAGCGCTGGGCTGTGGGGCTGAGGGGTTTGCAGAGAGGCTGAGTGAGCTGCCATTCTAGGCATCTGGGTGGATCCCGAC